AGAGAGAGAGAGAGAGAGAGTACTGTACTGGGGAACGGGGTGCTGACAACTGTCTCTGGACTCAGTACTTGTTCTGCCATACATCATTAAGGTGTGGAATTGCCTATGTGCATTCTCAAACTTTAAAAATGACAATGCATAGGTCCTCCTTGGTGGCACAACGGGTTAGGATGCAGCACTGCAAGCTGGCCGCGGCCGCTTCAGTGTGAGTTTGATTCTCCACCCTGGAGGTGAGTTTGATTCTCCACCCTGGAGGTGATCCACATGCATGGCAGACCTCTCCTGACTTGCCTCCTGTTCCCCTCATCAGTGTACTTCATTGATCTGCCTGTTCTGCTCCCTACTCTATCTCTGGTGAAGCTTCTTACTACCCCTGAACCTCTGGCTTGTACCCCAATGCTGTATTCATAAATAAATATTTTTTTAAATGACAATGCATAGAATTCTACCCCAGAATTGCAAGATCTTAGACAAGCACTTTGGTTTCTGAGTAACAGATTTTTATATAGTGAAGTCAAAGCAGGACTAAGGGGAGGATGAAATGACATAAAGCTTGAAAGTGTCTTAAGCAATTTATATTCCAACGTACCCTCCCTGAGTTCAAAGTGTCTTGTGTCCTAATCTTACATGACATTATTTAGTAGACTAGAAAGCTAAGTCTCAGTAGCTGCAAAGAATGCCCCTTAAAGGCAGATTAGAATGATAGAATGGAAAGCTCACTGGTTTGCAAATCACAATGGGAATCTTTCAGGGACAATCTCCTTGATCTCTGAGTTTCCTCATCTCTGTAGATGGCGGTCATTTTCTTTGGTTCTTGGCATTCCTATAAAAATTGAATATGTAAAAGCTCCTAGCCTGGCAGCGGTTTTCTGCATTTCTCTTCTTCCCTATAGTCTCCCATTTGTAAAGCAGGGAAGGGATGAGATGATTTCTGGACCTCTTTCATCCCTGTGGGATTTCGTGAACTGTGCTTAAATGCCCTTTCCTGCCAGAAAGGGTGGCACTGGGCCTGATCACCTCTTTCCCCTTACAGCTCTGTCTTCTGCTGGTATAGAGGTTCTGCTATTGTTAATTAAATTCCAGTAAGTAAAAAAAAATTTCTTAAAGGTTTTCACATATGAAATCATAAGATTGTGATATGATACTTTAGGGTCCAGACAATGACATAATCATCCTTTTGCACACATTTAAATGTGCACATATTCATACCTGTGCAAAAGTCAGTGCAATAGAAAGAACTCAGGCTTTGAATTTCAAAGTACAGCTTTGTCCTTTTTTCCTTGTTAGCCTTTGGCAGAAGTTTCCAAACTTCTTCGGTCCTCAGATTTTCCTTAAAGGGATTGAGACCCACCTCCTGCAGTTATGAGTATGCAGTGAGATTAAAGGGGTGGTGGATGTACAGTAGTCATCTAGAGGAGATGGCCCAGAAATACTCGTCTGCTTCTCTTTTCTTTATTTACATGTATGGAGCATTTTATATGTTAATAAAATACTTCATATTTTTTATCAGTTTGTTCTCACAGTAATACTATAAAGTAAGTTAGTAGTGTTACAGGGTAGCCCAGA